CATTTGCTAAATACCTAGAGGAGTGTGGAATTGTTCCTCAGTACACCATGCCAGGAACTCCTAGCATGAATGGTGTTGCTGAGAGACGAAACCGTACATTGAGGACATGGTTAGGAGTATGATTTGTCATACTACTTTACCCGATTCACTCTGGGGAGAGGCACTGAAAACTGCAGCTTACATACTTAACAGAGTTCCCACTAAAGCTACAACTAAAACCCCTTATGAAATTTGGACTGGAAAGAAACCCAGTATAAATCATTTCCATGTTTGGGATTGTCCAGCTGAGGCAAGGCCTTATAGGCCAAATGAAAAGAAATTGGACTCAAGAACAGTTAGTAGCTATTTTGTAGGATACTCTGAGAGGTCAAGAGGGTATAAGTTTTATGATCCCACTACCAGGACTGTTTTTGAGACGGGTAATGCCCGGTTCTTTGAGGATATTGAGTTTGGGGGGTGGGGAGATAAGGTTAGAGATTTTGTCTTTGAGGAAGAGCATGTTACTCTTCCTTCAGTTGTCATTGAACATGATCAAGATATTTTTATTCCTAATGATGTTCAAGAAACAACTCCATATCATGACAATCTCGAAAACATCCCCAATCAAGTACCTGAATTTATTAATGAGGATCAAACTCAACAACCTCAAGAACCTGAGGTGCCGTTAAGGAGATCCACTCGAGAGAGGAGAAGCGCAATTCCGGATGATTATATTGTATTTCTCCAAGAACATGAGGAAAATTGGGAATTGGTGGAAGAAATAATTGTCTTCCTCCAAGAACAAGAATCAGATGTTGGTTTTGCGGAAGATGATCCAATCAACTTCCGTCAAGCCATGGAAAGTTCTAACTCTCAAGAATGGATTAATGCCATGAAAGATGAGATGAAGTCTATGAGTGACAATGACGTTTGGGAGATAGTCTCATTGCCTGAAGGTATTAAACCCATTGGTTGTAAATGGATATTTACAATCAAGAGGGATTCAAAGGGCAATGTTACAAGGTTTAAAGCTCGTCTTGTTGCTAAAGGCTACACTCAAAAGAAAGGAATCAATCTATATGGAGCAACCAGAAAACTTTGTTTCGGGAGATTCAAAGAAAATGGTTTGCAAATTAAAGAAATCCATCTATGGGCTCAAACAGGCTTCTCGTCAGTGGTATCACAAGTTTCATAAAGTCATTATATCTTTTGGTTTTCAACCAAACGTCAGTGATGATTGTATATACCACAAGTTCAGTGGGAGTAAGCATATTTTTCTGGTCTTGTATGTTGATGACATACTGCTTGCTACTAACGATATAGGCTTATTACACGAAACTAAGAGATTTCTTTCAAAGAATTTTGAAATGAAAGATCTTGGTGAGACTTCTTTTGTATTAGGAATTCAAATTCACCGAGATCGCTCCAAAGGCGTTCTTGGACTCTCACAAAAGAGCTATATCGATAAGGTTCTCAAAAGGTTTGGTATGCAAGACTGCAAATCAGGAGATACCCCAGTTTCTAAGGGAGACAATTTTAGTCTCATGTAGTGCCCTAAGAATGGTTTTGAATCTAAAGAAATGAGGAACATTCCTTATGCTTCGGCTGTAGGAAGTTTGATGTATGCCCAGGTTTGTACAAGACCTGATTTGACATACATTGTTGGGATGTTAGGCAGATATTTGAGCAATCCGGGAATGGACCATTGGAAAGCAGCCAAAAGGGTCATGCGGTATTTACAGAGAACAAAGGAATATATGCTCACATATCGGAGATCGGATCAGCTTGAGATCATTGGGTATATCGACTCTGATTTTGCTGGATGTCAAGATAGCTTGAGATCCACTTCAGGCTACATCTATATTCTAGCTGGAGGAGCTATCTCCTGGAGGAGTATCAAGCAGACTCTTACAACTACTTCCACCATGGAAGCAGAGTTTATAGCATGTTATGAGGCATCCAATCAGGCATTATGGCTGCGAGATTTTGTTAGTGGACTACGCATAGTGGACAACATTGAAAGACCACTTAAGCTATTGTGTGACAATAGATCAGCAGTCCTCTATGCTAAGAACAACAGTAGTTTGACCAAGGCAAAACACATTGGGGTCAAATTTAAGGCTGTTAAGGAACGAGTACAAGAAGGAAAGTTATCTATAGAGCACATTAGCACAAACTCCATGATTGCGGATCCGCTCACTAAAGGATTACCACCCAAAGTGTTTCATGAGCATGTTGCACAAATGGGTGTCAAATCAGTTGAGGATTATGAGTTTTAGTGGGAGTTTGTAATGTTTCTATATTTGGTTAATTGACTTGATTCAAGTTTTTAAGGTTATTTTCCTGCAGAAATAAAGTTTAAAGTTTTATGTACTCTTACAGTTATATTATTGATCTCAAGGTGGACCAGTTGGAAATAGACATTCTATTCCAGACCACACTTTATGTTATTTCCACGCTACACACCTATACTTGATCCATGTCGTTTATTATATTAATATATGTGATCATTGATGGGTCTAGTTATTCAAATATAGCAAAGACTTCTTTGATCCTATGTTGATATAATTAATGGACCGGATTGATTAAAGATGACTACAGTTTGATAGCAAAATTTTGGAGCTCCTAAAGTAAACATACAATTCTGAGGATTGTGTATACATGTGTATGTCGTCCAAGTGAGAAATTGTTAGATTATTGGACTTATATTGCATGTAATATTCACAATATATTATTTATCGGGTTTAATTGTATGTTATATGTTATCTTATATTTAGGCCCAAAAATTAGTGGTTCTATGGATATTAATTTAAGTGGGCTAATAAGTTATCTAATAAGGTATAGGGCCCAAATGTGTAGAGACCCATGGGCTTGACCTAATCAATGATGGGCTGATTAGGGTTAAGCACTCTCTATAAATAAGGGGTTATGGTCCCTAGTTAAACACATCATTCTGTCTTTCTACATCCCATCGCTAGAGAGATAATCCCGAGGGTGTGTATCAACTAGAAGACGCAAACTCTAGTCTCTGTCTCCCGGATCTCCAAGGTCATCTCCTATGGAGTCAGGTACGCTTCCGCTCAGTTAATTATCTAGATAATTTCAATATGAAGATTAAAGTATTATCGGATTTATTCCAACATAAATAAACTAGCGGGAGCATAGTATATTGTTCTTTGAACATGAACCTCTGATCACATATTAGAAGAAATGAGTAAGACAAAAATAAGTTCTTTATGATGTATTATTTCAACATGGCTACATGGTTTATTGTTTACCCATTAAATAGGAGAATACAAATTACTATATTTCTCACAACTCAATTCAACTTTTAAATGAGACCTAAACTTATTACATATGTACTGAATTTTACCCAATTGTGCTCATATTAGTTGACTTTTTAATTCAAACATAATGAATGAATATATATTAATTAAAAGAAGTACCTAATTGCACTTAACGAAACATAGATAGTAAACTAAAACATATAATTTTACAAAGATGCTTAAGCGATCTAAAAATAAATTCATTTTCAAAAGTCTTGAGAAAGTGATCGAATTGAGAAATCAAGTATTGGTGTAAATTAACATAATAAGGAGAAATTAACAACACTAAGACACAAACTACGTAAATACAAAAAGAAGGTTGAAATAAGAGACACCAGTACACCACCATAATATACTGATGTTTAGAAAAGTTGGAGGAATGATCAAAGATTGAAACCTGTAGCGGTCATGTGGAGGTTACAACTCATGTGTGTTAGGATGAACGCTTGATGCGCACGGATATAAGATCTACGACCATTGGACTGACTGAATTCAGTCATCGTGATTTACAACTTCCCAAATGTTTTGTCGGGTCAGGGTGTGGGTGGCCTTGGGGTTGAGAATTCAGTCTTAGAGGATGTTGATATTTAGAAATACATGCACGCCGATGGTGATGTTGAGGAAGACAAACCAATAGATTAAAAATCAACATCTGATTCTGAAAACAATATACAAGCAGTCCAAATATGCAGTAGTGACATAACAATTTTTTATAGAAAATAATCGAAAGATTAACCGGATGAGCTATTATTAATCTAATTGGTGTTTTCAATTAACAGATTCTGCTTATATTAAATATTTAAAAGCTAAAATCTAGAAGTAGGTTGAAAGGTGCTTTAAACTCCTTTTCACATTTTCTATTACACAAAAAACACTTATTTTATCAAACACTACTAACTTTTACTTTTTAGAAGCATTTTTTTTCTCAAACACTATCAACTTTTACAATAGAGCATTTTTTCCAAATCACTTTTAAAAATCACTTTTGGAAGCGGCGAAACAACATGGTGTGGAAGGAACAGACACATGAGGCGGCTGGAGTTCTCAACGCTGCAGCTAGCATGCCTGCGAGCTCGGGGACGACGGTGACGATTAGTAACATTATGACTGCGTGACAACATCTCAAGGTGAGGTATATCAAAATCAATGTGGATGCCGCTGTTATCGGGCAGGGGGGATTCAAGCATGGGTCTGGATTGCATGGGAAGACAAAGAGGATTTTATCAAAGCACAAGGAGTCTCGAAAAAGGCAGGGTGGTCTACTGCAGAGACAGAGACACTAAGAGTACGGGATGCTATTTTATGTGCAACTGAGGAAGGATGGTATAAAGTGGAGATCAAGACGGATGACCTTAAGGTGGTGCAACGTCTTAAGAAAAAGAGGAAGGATCTTCATATCTACATCTAGTTCTTGATGATGTTAGGAAGATTATGGAAATAAAGAGTAATTTTGATCTCTCTTTTTTTAGACGGTCTGTGAATCGTGCGGCTCATTCTTTAGCTCGAGCGCATGTTTTTGTCTCATATCACAGACTTAACTATGATGTTATTTCGGATTGTATTATCACCAAAATGGCCAACCATTTATTGATTTAATATAAATATATATCGGGTTTTACGATATAATATAGTCCTTCGTAGTTCGTACGTCTCAAATGTTTTTAAAGGCCTAAATAAAGCGTAGTTATATTTACTTGGGTCCGCAAAAAATGGCCCATGCTTTGAACAGGAAGGTGTTGTTCCGTCTTTGATTTTCTTCCTCTTTCTTCAGTCTAGAGTACGCCATACAGCCCACAGCCCACAGCCCACAGCTGAGAGAAACCGTGTTGCCAATTGGCTTGCCAGTGCAGTGTCTCTTTCGCTAGATTACAGTCAACAGGTAATTCTATGAAGATTTCTACAGTATTTTAATTCTCCCCCTCTAGAAGTTGGAAGAAAGAAGTTAGCTGAACTTTCTGTGGCAATTGAGTTATGATAGATTTGTAGGCTCAAATTCGCAATCTTTCCTTTAGATATTCTCTTTATGTGTGATAGGATGTATTCTTAATTCCGTTAATTTGTGATTGCCTGTTTATATGGGAGGTGAAACTACCAAAGTGTTGAATATGCATGTGTTAATCCCTAATATGCTAGAATATGAAGTGCTTCAGTATCTGTTGGATATCTTAGACCTACTATTTCGAGTATAGGGTGAAGCATTATATGTTGAACTATTGGATATTCATGTAAGAAAAGTTATTCTTTTAATGGCCATGATTTCAAGAATTCAGGGTTCACATTTTTTCTTTTACAAATCTGTTCTAGATAAGATTGACTAGTGCCAGGAAGGGCGAATTGTACAGTGGCTTGATTTTCTTTGGGATTGATCTCTTAGAAAAAGGATCCTTTTAGAATAATTTGGCCATGTTCGACATGACATGGCTTGGTGCTATCTTGCTTGGAGCTGGCTGCTTTGCTATTGGGTATCTCACTCGTGCACATCATTCTGCTAGCCTTTTCCTCTCAAGCAGAGCTTCTGGAAAGGCTGAAATAGCTGTTGATGGGAAGAAAAAAAAGACAGCACAACCTCTTGAGATTGATAAACTTGCTGACATTCTTGAGGACTTCAAAATGGTATAAATTTTTTAAGTTACAGAACTAGAGGCATAGTGCATATATGCTTATAATTTTTTCTATAAATTCATTGTACATCCCACTCGAGCCAGAGTATAGAAAAGTTTGGTTAGAGTTCTAGTTTAAAACATCCGTTGTTTATTCGAAGTTTTGATTATTAATTATAGAGAGGAGTGTTTATATTGTGTACATAATTTTACTTTTAGAGGCCGTTTGGTAATACCCTAATACCCAAATCGGCTGTATTGGCTGATTTTGCTGAAAATGAAATTTATGAAAATTTGGTTGAAGTTGCTAGATTGGGTGATTCTGCTGATTTATGAAAAAATTATATTTAAAATATATTTTATTAATAAAATAAAGAAAAAATTATATGATAAAATAGCTACAATGATCCTCTATAGTAACTTCAGCCAATACAGTCAGAAAAGTAACTTCAACCTTACTTTTTCTTATTATTACATAATTCAGCGTGCGAAATCAAAAGTTACATGTTTGGTGAAAAGGTGGGCTGAAGTTTGATAAGCTGAAAAATAGGGTCACCAAACGGGCTCTTAATATGGATATACATAAAATAAAAAGGCTTAATGTGTTAATGGTACAAAAATATATTGAGTATATAATAATATTCTTATTTGATTTCCGTCTTAAGAAATTTTCGTAAAAAAATTGAAATGTAAAAATATTGTATTACTCCCTCCGTCCCGCTAAGATTGTCTCATCTTTCCTTTTCGATCCGTTCCACTAAGATTGTCTGATACCAAATTTATTAAAGTTTGTGTGGTTCTAAAATCTAAATAATTCTTACTGTATTCTTACTTTATCAATTCAATATCAACCACATAAATCTTTTTTTAATAACCGCACCACCCCTTCATGTCCCAATGTTAGTGGGGCGGAAGTAGTACTTTGTTATTTTTGATATCAATGTATAAGTTCTCTATATATTCTTTGTAGTGTCATCTTTGTTATTGCTATATTTTATTGCTATCATCCGCTCTAATTTATTTAGTAACTTTGATGGGCAGAATCATAGAAGTATCAAGGATTTGAAAATTATATGGTTGAGATTTATGCAAAAGAGAGAGACTATGTAAACCACAAGTCTACAAATTTGTTTCTTTAAAGGGAAATTTGCATAGTTTTTTCGGATAGCCAAACTGTGAGGTTGGCTAACCTTTAGAGACGGAGGGAGTATATTTTTTAATGTTCTTTTGGGACTAAGGCTTGGATGTTGTTACAATTTTCCATTTTACACAGGTTTTGGTTGTAAGAAATGACTTAAAGATGGGGAAAGGAAAGATTGCTGCACAATGCAGGTATTTATTGAAGTCTGTGAATTGAGCTCTCTAGAATATCTTCACTGCTTACTGAGATTATTCTTTTCTTACTGCATCATTGAGCTGATTTGTGGGACTAAGATTTTGTTTACTAAAGAAGTGAAAGGTTTTTTGATTAAGTAATACGTGACCAAATATACATTTCCAGTTTTCCTGATGTTTTTGCTGCTACTTGTAATCTTCTACTGAGTACACTGTATGCTTACAGCACGAGCCTTTTACCTTAATATGAATATCTAAAATAAGTCTTTTTTATTGTATTCATAATCTATGTGATATTTCCCTCTATTCTGACTCGCTCTGTTCTTGATTGATATTCAGCCATGCAACTTTGGGTCTCTACAAGAAGCTATGTAATCGTGCTCCTAAAGCTTTGGAAAGGTGTTTTTAATGCCAAATACATTTTAGTTGGGGAGAATTGTGCATTTGTAATTTGTAATCATATATGTAGTTTATGTTTTCATATACAGTTTAATAGTTTAAAACTTTAAATGATTATGAGTATTAATTGATACAGGTGGGAAATGTGTGGGCAGGTTAAGGTTGTTGTCAAAATTGAAAGTGAAGATGATATGCTGGTTTTACAAGTAAGTTATTTCCATCAGTGTGGCTACCCTCCAGATGTTGATCTGTTTAGATGTTTTCGCTTGGAACATTTGTTTGTCCTCCAGCTTTATACATCTATTACTTGAAAATATTTTTGCATGTATATAGAGTCTACATATTATAGAGTAAGGGCATGTATATGTGTGTGTGTGTGTGTGTATTTTTAAGGAATATTACTCCGTATAAAATACTCCGTACAAATTACATAAAACCAGACTATCATGTCAAAATGTTTGACATGAAGAAACAGAATCTCTTAGTTTCTTCTTGAACAACTTTTCCCAATGTCTTTCATGGAATGCAACAATAGAAAATTATACTTCAAACTTGGACAAAGCATACAGAACAAAATGATTGAACTTCCAAGAAACCTGTTGTATAAGTGCCTCCAGTAAGTTGTGTTTTCTCCTCCACAATTTGAAGACTAAGTAGTCACTACTTCTCAAGCCATGGGAAGCAAGAACAGCCCTTGAAAGTATTTTAGCCATTTTTATTATGTTTTTCCTTATGGTATTTATTCTCTTAACAGGAAAAGGCAAAATTAATTAAGTTACCAACACATATAACCATTGATGCTGGGAGAACACAGATTGCACCAAGTAAGTTGTTATAACCTTTTTTGCATGTAGGGGTGGATGGGAATTGCTTAATCTTGAATATAATAAATAATAGAAACATTGATAGTTTTCCTGAACTCAAATACCTTTACTTCATAAGTCACATCTGTTGAATTAGAGGGACTCGTGTACGTATGCCTAGATTTCAACATTTTTTGATAGTTTCATAGGGCCACTGCTTAGCTTTAGGATAATGCTAGAAGAGGTTATTCCTTTTCATACGATTTATGCATATTTGTAGCCGCTGAAGCGCTGATCAGGTAAATGAAATGTAGCCCAAACTTCTGGTGCCTGAAAAACAAACTATTGCACTCATTCATTGAGCTTAGCTTTTGTGATCTTTTATTTATGTCTCGCAATGGTGGTAATTATTCTTTTCTTCCATCTGCAGACTCAAGGACAGTGATGGCGATTCTTGGTATGTTTCTCAGTAAAAATTTGTTCTGGGGAGTGGAGACTTCCCATTCTAAATTTGTCACAACTTTCCATCTTTCCTCCCAACATTCTGCTGTTTTCATTATTTTTATGATGGATGCAAACCATCTCTCCAGTAGTTCACTTTTTTCATTTAAAATAAGTCTCTGTGTGTGCAGGACCCTCGGATATGGTCGATGATGTTACAGGTGGACTGAAGCTGTTGTAGTGCCGAAATCAGTTTTCCTATTCTGAAGCAAGACCCTCAAAATTTGTACAAAAAGTAACTGAACATTCATCGTGGATTTCAGTATTGATAATGACGAAATGTCTCCATTCTTCTTCAGTCAAGTGCAGTTGTATTCCATTGCGTAGACTTCAAGTAGAAATGAATAACTTTATACTGACATTCATGTCATAAGTTTCCTCCTTAACCTGTTATGTGGTAGTAACATAACTTTGTTCTGAACTAACCGAAATACACTTTCCCTTTTTATTGGTATGCTGAATCCAATGAGTCTCAGTACAGAGTTACAATTAGCAAATTGCGTGATGGCACTAAAATGCGAGTGTATTGACCTTTATTTCAATTTGGTGGTTTACGACTAGTTATAGGTTGCGAGCTTTTAAGTCTTTCACAAAGAGTTAGTTCATGGCTCTCACTTGGTCCGAGTACAATAGTAATACCGGTTTGTAGTGCAGCTGGTGGAGGTTGGTTGTACGACCTCTAATGCACATTGACCATTTGTACAAGCAATACAGTCCTTCAGACCTTCAGAGACGGTCTTGATACCGGTTTGTAGTGCAGCCATGGGCGGAGCTAGGGGTGGGCCAACCTAGGCCATGGCCCACCCCAAATTTTAAAAATGACTTAATTTTTAAGATAAAAAATTTCGTCTAAATTTTTTTCTAAAAATATTCTTTGTACCGGCCCAGTCCGCCCAGTGCTCTGGCTCCGCCCCTGAGTGCAGCTGGTGGAAGTTGGTTGTACGACTCTAACGCACATTGACCATTTGTACAAGCAATACAGACCTTCAGAGATGGTTGGGACAACTTGTAGGTCAAACTAATTGTCCTTGACCTAGGCTGCTCAACTGGACTTTGGCCCTGGCTTGATCACAGGGTTTAGGTTAGAGTATTTGAAAAACTAAACACCAATCCTGAACTTACGATGTCTTGTGAGTGGAAAAGGATTGGTTTATAGCTGAAACAAGCCTATTGGGTTGGTCACAACAACTAGGGGAGAGCAAACTCGACCCTACCCGATTGACCCGATCGGATATATCTGTTTTTTTTGATGGGGTTGGAATACCTGCTCCGAAATACATAAACCCGATCCAATTTTTGCAATCCGAGACTTAAGCGGGTAGCGGGTAGCGGGTAGGGTTACCAATTATGCTACCTGACCCGCCCGAAAAACCGAACTAGCATAGTATATATACTACTTTAAATTATTATGCATGTTCAAATATCTCAATTATTATGTCAATTACCATATTATGCATGTTTAAATATTCTAATTACCGTATTAGTACAACTATAACTTTGAATGTTGTATTGTTATGACTTTGAATGATATTTTGACCAATTATCATTTTATTTATCACAATATCAATTATGTCAATCACCGTATATTATTATTTTACATGTTCAAATATGTCGATTACCGTATTTATACAACTATTACTTTGAATGATATACTAGTATAACTTTGAATAATATTTTTACCGATTACCATTTTATTTATCACAATTTCAACAATAATAAATTAAAATCCGAATGGACCCGAAACCCGATTCAACACGACCGCAACCCGAATTTCTTCGACCCGAAAAAACTGATAAATTTGTTGATAGGGTAAGGTTTGAAATTATCAATCCGATACCCGAACGGGTTTATCATTTATGAATCCGACCCGTGCTTTGCCCTAACAACAATGACCTGCATGTTGTTGACTCGGGGAAGGAGAGTCATGTTTCGTTATGCTACCCTAATGATTAAGCAGCCTACTACATTTCTCAAGTACATGAGCATCATGCATCTTAAGTTGATTACTAGCCCAAATAAGTTTAATCCCCCCTTCACCACCTCCATAGCATCTCCTAACGCCGCTAGTCCGTCTTTTACACATAAATTTAAAATATGACATGCACAACGCTGATGAAAAAACCTAGCCATCAAAGAAGATGAACCACACAATTCACGCAATCTAGGAATAGCAGCAATATTATTAATAGCATTATCAAAACCAATAGCAAACACCTTATCAATCAAATTATACTCAATTAATATACGCTCAATGAGAATATAAATATTATCACCAGTGTGTCGATCATTAAATTCACGAAAAGCAGGAACATGTTTATGCATACACCAATCATTATCAATATAATGTTCAGTCACACCCAAATAATATAAATGATGATGAGTATCCTCCCATATATCACTACATATACTAACACGTCCATCAAAGTTTGCGAAAAACGTTTGTAATTTTTGCTTTTCCAAAACATATTGCCTTATAACTTCTTTTTTTAATTGTTTTGCGACTATAGTTTCAAAATTGAGGATTTAAAGTACCTTGAGCATATTCTTTTAAAGCAAGACTTTCGAAAAAAATAAAAGACAAATTTTCTTCAACAATTAAATGAGACATACCGATCAAATGTTTTTTATCATCATAGGAGAAATTGCCGAAAGGTTGGCCAATTCCAAACCTTGAAATTTGTGTTTGCTTTCCCTTGCCTTTGTCCAATTTCGCATACGCCGCCGGGTGCTTGGCCTTAAGATGCCTTGTGGCGCTCCCGTACCCTCCAAAAATTCCCAGGTTATACACTTTTGGGCAATGCTTGCAAGTGGCGTACCATATCTCGGTTTCGGGGTCTTTAACTTTTGTAAAATTGGCCTTAAAGAAAGATTCAATTTTCTCACTGCCTTGGGAAGAAGTAGCCACTTCCGCTTGCTCTTCCTCATGGTCTGGTGTGCCATGAATCTCGTCCTCGACCGTTTGCGGATCCCCCTCCTCTGCATCATCATCCTCGAGCTCTTCTTCGTCAATGGTTGGGATGTCTTGTTAATGGAAAAAGCGCTCTTGATGTTGTTGCAATAGTTGTTCTACTTGCTCATCGGACATCACATCCTCATATCTTTGGTTGTAACTCGCATCAACATCATCTCGGGTTTGAGATGAAGACCCAGCCCGTCCCTTACCTATGTGTGAGCTTGGATGATTCCTCGCAATCTCCTTTGTTCGGTTGCGGCGGAGGTTACCCATATCTATAGAAGCTCTACCACGTTCCATCTTTGTTCGGTTGCGGCGGAGGGAATTTGAAATACAAATCTAACAATTCGAAATACAATTTAAAAATGAGAAAATCTAAGTAAGTAATAAAATTCGAACTATTTGTCAACAAATAATAAATAAATAAATAAACAACAAGTTTAACTACTTTTATCATAAAATTCGAACAACTTTAATATAAAAGTAACAATTAACTAGTTTAACAATTAAACAATTAACTAGTGTTATAGGAGAATAAGAAATGTAACAATTAACTAGTTTTATAGGAGAATAAGAAATGTAACAATTAACTAGTTTTATAGGAGATTAAGAAATGTAACAATTAACTACTTTTATAGGAGAATAAGAAATGTAACAATTAACTAGTTTAACAACTAAACAATTAACTTCGAATTATTGTCTAACAACTTTTTTGGAAGTAAAATGTAACTACTTTCTTTTAATGTAACTATTTCCAATAAACTAATAACTAACAGTTATCTACTTTTATAGCATTGAACTAATACTAAAATGATAAGTGAAACAATTAACTAGTTTTATATTAATAAAGAATGTATGAGTGTGTATGAGTGTGTAAACTAAATTAATGGGAGTGTGAGAGTGTATAAGCAAGTGTATAAGTAGATATACTTAATATATATATTTATAAGTAGATAATATGTGTATAAGTAGATATAATACGGAGTAATTGTTTAAGTAATGTATAATATTATGTTTATAGTATATATAATATAAGTATATTACTATAAGATGAGTAATACACTTATATTTAATACTTTAATATATAAGTATAGATTAAGTATATGTAATATGTAAATATAAGTAAATAACAATAATATAATAATTAGTGAAGATGGAGAAGATTAGTAGAGAATAGAGATTATAGAGATTAGAGAGTAGGAATATTTGGAGAAGATGTATCGTAAAATGTATAGAAAAAATGGAGTATTTATAGATTTTTTGTACCCACCCCATCCCGGGACCCCCATGGAGCCTCCCAACGGCTATAGAGCCATTTGGGTTTGTGGGCAACGGTCATAAGGCCTTGTTTGGGCCTCCAATTATCATTATTCTCTCCGTCCCAATTTGTAAGATACTTTACGGTTTACGATGTTTGACCGACAGTAAAGCAAATTGATCCCTGTCAACACTCAAATTAGTTTTAGAAAATAAAATTTACATATTCAGAAACTACATTAAAACCGCTACAAAACCTGCAAAAAGTAATTCAAATTTAATAAACTTTTGATATATAAAGTAAAAGATTAAGAGTGATTTATGTTGACCAAGTGAATAGTAAATGTATCTTACAATTTGGGAGTGAGGAAGTATTTTTTTTAAAAAAACTAGCCGTCAGGCCTGGACCGGGCCCGAATCGGCCGGGCCGGTTCACTGAAAACTTGGCCCGTGCCCGAACTGCCCTACCCGATCAGGCCAGTTCAAAGACCGAACCGCCCAACCAATACCCGGGCCGGTCCGGGCCCGTACAGTAGCGGGCCGGGCCAGTTCCGGGCCGGGCCGAATCGGTTGGGTCCATCCCTAGGAGCATGGGATAAGTGATCAGAAGTGTAAAAGTAATTGACCCTTTTTGGGGAAATAAAAGTAATTGACCTAGGAGTTGAACATACTATGTACCACTTTTCCCTAAATCACCTCTAATCAGAGGCGGCTTGAGCATTTTAAGGGCCCCAGACGAAAAATATTTACTATGTACAAATCACTTTTAAAATCAGATAAATTGAATAAAAATCGCCTTATGAAAAAAAGCATATTCAAAGTCCACGATATAATGTTTGTAATATTCAAAAGGATAATTTTAAAATGCAAACTTTTTCAAAACAGAAGGCAAACTTGTACTTGTAAAAGTATTAAGAGACTTCAAGAACGAGACTCAGAGAGAAGAGCTGAAGAGTTTTAGTTGATTCACTAACCAATGGCCCATTTCGACGGCGGGCAGTGAGGCATATATACAGTAGCCGATTAGCGATCTGTGTTGAGCGTTGATGCGTGTTGAGATCGGCTTTTGATAGTTTTTTCCTAACTTTAAGGTGTCATAAGTCTCAATTTTAAGCTCAAGTTATATTTACCGGCCGTTGGTTCGAGTTTTGGTATTTTTGGAGTCAAAATCAGGAAATTTGAGCCTGGCACCGGTGTTTGAGAAGCAATAGGGACGAGTTGAGAAGCATTTTAGAGTTGATTATGAGCATTGGAGATCAGTGAGGTGTTAAAGACAAAGTTTTGAAGACAAAAGAGCTCTAGAATTGGCTACGGGATCAAAAGAAGACAAATAGAGCTTGAAAACTACGGTCATGATGACGTTCTGTCAATCGTTCAAGCATATCTTTTCTTAGGAACATCCAAAAAACATAATTCAAGTTTCATATGAAAGCCAACTTCAAGGGCTAAAAATTATATGAAGACACCATTGTGAGAATCTGAGAGAAGCAAGGTGACAACAGACGATGAAGTCAGACAATCTCTGTTGAGATTTCAGAATGCGACCTTCCACCATTTTATTCATATATTTTTATTGGATTATTCAAATCCAATTTTGCAAGTTATGTTGGATAGAAGACTTCATTAGATACAACTTTGATGAAGAACGAATAGTCAAAAGTGAACTATAAAGCTGATTTCTGCTTACAGTTGTCGCTTCGTGTATTGACGGTCTGCGAATAACACCTAATACTAATATCGGAGTAGAATTTTTTGGAGGCCCCCTTGGTAGTTGAGGCCCAAGGCAGTTGCCTGGCCCAACTGCCCTCAAAGCCGCCCCTGCCTCTAATCTTTTTTAAATAGGAGTAAATATTATTTTTCTACACCTAATTAATTAATTGCCTCCTAGTTTCCTTGAGTAACTCTAGCGGTGGTAGGTAGACTGGGGAATTTAGGAATTTGTTTTTTCACCGTCGGAGCTTTGGCGACCGGCGGCAACAACGAACGTGGTGGGGATCTGGATGTTAGTGGCGGCTGGCTGGGTAGCTAATACCTGCAAGGATATTTTTTGTTCATTCACTAAAAACTCATATTTTGGGAATTTTTGAACTACTACTCCTAGGTTTGCCTTTTGATAGTGTTTTACTCCTAGATTTGGATTTGGGAATTAACTGTAACTGTAAATTGCAATTTGCCATTTGTGAGGGTAAAATGCATTTCGGTACTGCAGCAATATTGATACTCCATTTTCTTCTCTTTCAAAATATTGATATTTTAGACATGCACGAAGATAACCATAAATTACAAAGATTTTTGAGAGACTATTGTTGATACTCCTCCGTCCCTAAATTTACTTCGAACTTTCCCTTTTGATCCGTCCCAAAAAGAACTTCAAACTTTCCCTTTTTTACAAATTATGTTATACAAATAAATTTGTGCAGATATAGACATGATGGCATTCATATTACGCATACAAAAAAAATGTCCGACCTGCCGGATTCGAACCAGCGACCTAAGGATTATCTGTGGCTTTTAAACGACTACAGTCCTCCGCTCTGCCAACTGAGCTAAGGTCGGATCTGTTACTCAAACACATTTAGACCTATATAACGCATAAACTAATAATAAAACCACGCCGGATTCATTTTGCAAATTTATATCTCCCGTAGTTTTGCTTCCTGCTCAATACAGGAGCCATAAAATTAATCTTACAGTGATAAATTTTAGCAATACTTATTAAGAAGTGAGATTTCACTCTAAATTATTCTTAATGCGATTACTCCGTATTTTATATTATGGATGTCGAATGGAATAATTACAATCAAAATATAATTGAACATGTCTCTCATACCTTATTAAAACAATAGTCTTGTGTACTAAACCTGATTAAAGTTAAAGATATAGATTAATTGGATTTTGATGGTATACTTATGGCCTCCCCTGGGACCATAAGTATTGAACATGTCTCGCATATACATGTCTCGCATATAAAATCACTTTTGGGTAAATGCATATATCATTTGTCTACTAAATCTGATTAAAACGCTTGTGTTATTTATATTGTATCATCAATGAGATGTCGAATGGGCTCATAATCTTCAGAAAATCGTAATGTATGGAAGAAATCTCATTCTCAGAACTTGCACAGTGAAAAGTGCTCATTAAACCCACCCACCTTTATCCCCACAATTCAAAATATCTAAAACAGTGTTTTTTGTGATCAAAAGTAACCAATGGTAATCACTTTTAGTGGGATTCACAAGGGTTACTAATTATTTTACTTTTCAAAGGTAATTTGGCATTTTTTCACCCACACACTAAAACTCACAAAAACGCCAGACACATTAAGCCCATAAAATACTCACCGTACACCCAAAAAATATGTGGATGAAATCTTCCTTCCATTCACTGATTTAATTGATCCACTTCTTCCTTTACAAAAATAATTTGTGTGAAATTCTATTGCGAGAAACACAAATCTGCTCAAATTAGTACATTTCGAAATTTGAATACACGTAATACATTTTGGTGATGACAAATATCCAAACAATGCTACCTAGTGGAATTAAATTTTTAGGCAACTTAGTAGTACAAAAATACAAATTAGTCAACATTTGTTTTAGTTTACACTTTCAGGGCTCGCTTAGGAAACTTACGTAAATTAATTAGTTAGTTCTGTCCAAGGGTCAAACGTTGATAAGTGCACTCTAAAAATTGAAATACTTCAGTGCAGGGAAAGAACACCATAACTAAAACACATGCATTATTCAACGCATGTAATATTCTACTCGAAAATCCCCAACTATTTAGTATTATCACCAACACTGTATTAGGCCACATCTGAAATGCCAAAAAAACCCGGGACATGACAAAAATAATTGTGTTATAAGAAAAAATCTTATTTGAATTGCCAAAGGGAAACGATGTGACAAACACAGCCCAGGAATTCAGGGGGCGGTGATATTGGGTATAATCTTTTATAAACTTTGGAATTTCATTTTTGCATACAATGCGTGTTTGACCATAATATATCATGATTTAAAATAAATTACCAGTGTAGTTAATATTAGCTCAATATTAATACATTTCAAGCTCACATTGAACTGCAATTTAAACAATTTATGACACCACTTTTTATGTGAAAAAATGCAGGTTTATGCTTAATGCTTGGAGTGATTGATAAATGCCTAGGATACTTAGTATCAATTTAACTGTAATTTCAATTTGTGATGTATGTAATAATAGATATAGGGTAGATTTAGGACATTTGCCAGCTCCGGTTGAGACTGCGGGTACGCCTTTTTACGCTTTTTAAGCAATGCTTAATTTTTCTGTATTTCGATGTATGATTCCTTACATTTACCCCTGTACACTCGATATATGCATTTACAAATGATATATGGTACCGAACATTCGCAATGTAAAAAGTAGACAAATGATATATGCATTTACCCAAAAGTGACTGAACTCATTTGAAATTCGATAACAAAATTCAAAATAGTCTACTTTCACTGGCACTTCCATTTTTATTAACAAAACTCTGTTTTTTCCAAAAATCCCACGATGAGTTTTCTTTTACAACCAAATGTTCAAGTTCGGGACCATACATCATTTGTCAAAGTGTATGAAACAAAACTTGAGACACGTAGCTTTGCACAAACAATCCTTCAAAAGTTATGCGTATGACGCATTCCTTGTTTTTAAAGCCTATGCATGAAATCCATGATACCCGTAGCTTCCCATCCTCATTATATAGCAGTAAATGACCATATAAAGCGATCTCTATTAGCAAGATTGAACTTAGCCTTTGTCGAAGGCGATACAGGCCATCCGTAGTACGCAGAAACTCTTAGCTCCGTTGTATTTATACATGGACGCAAGAACATGTATTATAGACAGCTGTAGCCATTCAATGTCTATTCGGTAACGCGAGAAAATATATATTCAACTTTTAGGAGCCCCTTTAAGGCCCATACATGTGTTTTCCAAAAGCGCATGATACGAAGTCCCACACAACCAAAAATCATTCAAACAATAGACGACAACACCCAAATACGCTGGAGAATTTCTCCAACACTTTAGAACACACACTAACACTTCTTTCACAAAAATAATATATTAAAATGCAATTTCATCAAACAACTGACAACAACAACTGAATCATAAGCTGTTGATACACTTTGACAAAGCACATGGCATGGAAATAAAAAAACATTGATAGATGGAGAGGTGGTAGCATAACCATAAGCTACAGCTGACCACTTTTACAAAATGCACAACCCATCAGGAACTCATAGTAGCCGAGTTCAAGGCAGTTATTAGGGTACATGTTTTGCCTACTTAGTTGACCCTTAAGTTAAAACACTAAGCAGTTAGTACTGTCGTAACAAAACATATATCATAATCATGCTAATCCATACTCCCCAGAATTAGTAGCTTCTTCACTCCTTTTCAATCTTCACTTTCTTGAGTTTCTTTGTTGATGTTTGTGACAACTCTCCGAATAAGTCACGTTTAACCCCCTCAACGTCAACTTCCAGAACCTGCCTTTTGTCCTTGCACATTAGTGGGCTAGACACCGTGGTCTACTACATAGCGGCATGCGATGATCCAGCCTGAAATTCAAAGACCTAGGACACCTTTTCAAACACATGCCTTGAAAAGAAACGAATGACTGAATTTAGTAAACCAAACCACTTTTTCAGACCCAGAACATTGTGAAGCCAACCTGGTGAACTCATCTTCCTCCTAATAAAAGGAGAGAATAATCAGATAACCATAACATAACATTTAGTCGAAATTTTCCCAAAATGTATACGTACATCCATTCCGTTAATCTTTGCATTGTAAAGCACCAGGACCTTTGGGTCCGTGTTCATCTTCAACACGCTGAAAGTGAGGTTTTCCTTGTAGTTTTTGCTCTCTCTTTTAAACTGAACCCGGAACAATGCCTTTGTATCGATCAAAGAATTTCTCTGACGGAAAGTGATGCGGACCAAAGTTCCTCTACAACGATCGTGAACGTTGGTGTTTTGAAGTATGAATATTAAGACGGAAAGAAATAGAAAAAAACAAACCCTAGCTATCTGGTCTTTCAGTGAAGCTGCAGACTTGCCCAACAAACAGGACACCTCTCTGTCCCACAGCAAGAAGGAGGCGTGGTTCGTGCCATCAACAACCCTCACGTTCACCTTGTACCTTCACATGTTTGACAATGTTTGAAAATGTGATGTTTAGACATTGAGGGACCAAACCTTTAAGAGCGCATGTAAAGGAAATTAAAACCTTAGAAAATCGTCATTAGAACTGCAAGATGCACACCAAAAGCTATCACCACTGGGTGATACCTTCTGGATACAGCCAATGCACGAAATGTAAGACCAATAAACACGGAACATTATGTTGTATAGGTATTTTATTTAATTGCAAATTCAAATAAGAATCAACCTCATGAAGTTTGCTAAGTTCATCAATTGTCAACAATTCTTGTTGCCCATTTGCAACGTCTCCATCATTTGAGTTGTTCGACTGTATAGTGAAACTCAATCCCTGCACCGCTCTTTCACCCATTCTGCCAAACATTTTTTCATCATTAAGGGAAGATGACTTCATGAATTTTTTTAGAACATGAAAATTAAATGCTCTCCAATTTCTCACCTAGACCTGAAATCCACGAATTCGTCCTTGGTACCATTCAAAATGACCTTGGTGGTTTTAAACATGTTTGAGACATGGACGTGGCCTTGCAAAAAATTTCCAAGTTAGACAGTTGTATAACAACAAAGGATCGGTAGGCAGGCAGCGTTCAAAACCTTGGTACTTCCTAGCCCAGCAACATTGGAGTAGCATCACGATTGGATCTGAAGTTGTAACCTTGTATGTCAACAACATCTCTACCATTGGTCCCCATAGGGTGCAAGCTATGACGTTCCCCCTACGAAAACGTTGCAAAAATCTATTTGAATATATCATGAACCCATGATAAATATTTAAGAAGCATTATTAACGAACTGTTAACTTACTCCGTGTCACCCACAATAAGTTCCATCAGCCTCCTTGGTCTTTCATTCTTTAAAATCGTCTTAGGGTCCTTGTCGTGTACCACTTGGCCAATTATATCTTTATATAGACATTAAATTAGATGACAATCTACTCGAAAAGTATGTGACACGGGTCAATTTACAAAATTGTTTGCGCACCGATTCCGTATTTCTCATCAATGGCGTCCATGGCTTTTAGCGATGCGAACGTCACCAGCGAGAAAGTTCTTGCCAGAAATGGAACACCCTTAATCTCAAATGCAACGCTCTTGCTGAAGAAACGCAGTCGATAGGCACTGGTCGTAGTTTTAAAGAACATGTAGTTTTCCTCGACCATAAAATTTTTAACCGCAGAAACACGACCTTCCTTGAATAGACCATTGAACATGTTAATATACTGGTCGAGAATGTCTGCATGCATTTTTGAACCCTGGAATTTACAATTCGATACCCAGTCAACACGCGGTTAAGGGTCAGAAAATGCATAAAGACTACTTTTAACGGTTTTTCACTTTACGAAAATCCCGATCATACAAATAACGGGTTTTTCATACATTCGCCCAATACTTCGATCGAAATAATTCATCCCCAAATTTACGGTTAAAACTCTAAATAAAAGGCAAATTGCCCCCGGGAAAACTTAATCCGTCCGTATGAACCATGAACTTGAGTTTTTTAACTCGGGATGAGTTGTAATCTTATACCAAGTTGACATTGAGTCAAAGATAAACAAACCTCCTCATCATGGAATACGACCTCCAAGGACTCCGGAAAACAATCGTGTGCAGGCTCCCGGTAAACGCGAATAGCTCTCGCCTTGAAAGCCCATGTGGTCTTGCTTTGGTCTATCTCACGGAATAAAGACCACATGCCCACCATCTTAAGATTTTTTGCTTCTGTTTTTTTTGGCTTGGTAGAGCTTGAATGTGGGGGAACTTGGACAAAACGGTGGCCAATTTATAGCGGTTCAGGTTAGGATAGCAACTGAAGCCACATACTATTGACCTCCAAATCCACCAATAGGAAAGTTTCTCAAAATGAGAGGGAACACTATGCTCATCATAGCCACTACACTATGCTATGTCACGTCAATCTTCCCTGCTCATCCTCCTTGCCACTCAACCAATAATACGTCAACCCAACTTAGAAAACGCTACCTATGCGCTATTAAAAAAGCTTCATGAGTGGGTGGGAAATCTTGAGAAAATCCCAACAGTGCCTCCAAATCTCAACAACCACAAATTTAATATTCTCAAATCTACCAACAGAACACCCCTTTAACCAATGCCACACTTAACCATTCAATAGAACATATAATCCTGAGATTTATCTCCACAACCATGACAACGACATTTCTGAGCGGGAACTTCTTCCCCAAAAACATTTTACTTTTAGATTAAGATAGATAGTCTTGTGTACTAAACCTGATTAAAGTTAAAGATATAGATTAATTGTGAAATTGAAGCCATACTCTTAGAACTAAAAGTGAAAATTTTTCGTTAATATTATATCGCAAATTATTCATTAGTATTTATTGTAATATTAGTATAACTATTTTTATTATATATGGAATTGAATAATGGATAATATATTTGATTAATACCTTGGGAAATAAGTTTCTATAATGGTCAATTGTACATTAATTGTAATACCAAAGATAATGCACAAAGATACACATTTGCACCAAGATGGTGAATGCATGGTGTGCATGGTGTCACATTACAATGTCTGTTTAATATATTCCGTTTGATTAAATTATACATCCGCAAAGTGAAATGGTGAATTATATCCGCAACGAGAAACATTTATTTGAAGTAAAATGATGAATTATTTATACATTGTATAAATTATATATCTTATAAAGTATATATAGGGGGGTTCAAATACAAAGAGGCCTTCACATGTAAAGCGGGAATTAATCTTGTGCATTTATTTTCAGATCTAATGGCTCGAAATGAGCCAAAATATGCACTAAAATTGATCAAAACGCGGTGGTAATTTCGTAAATAAACCGAAGTTTTCTGTCACAGTATAATGCACTTTTGCGCTACATTTTTCTATGTTACTATTAAATTTATGGATTTAAAATCTGATTACAATTTTGTCACACTTTCATTATGAGTATCACTTCATTGTCACGGTTCACAAATGCCTTAGATTTTTTATTTAAGTTTATTCACCAAAGTTTTTATCCTATTTTATTCACACATTTTTACCATCATTAGTGTCTGGTGTATACCCTGGATTACACGAGTTACACTCTATTTATATATTCTTCACACAGACAAAAAAGCACAAATACAGACAATTTTTGACAAAATTTGTTTGTGTGAACAAAATTTGCCTATAAACATGTCTGTGCATATACATTGATTTTAGTGTAAATCACATTAATTAGTGTGTTTTTTTTTTGCAAAAAAAAAGTCAAATGAGGTTACGCGGAAATTAATGTAGATATACAAACACTAGATGCCTCTATGGCTGTATACATACAAAAAGGTGTATGTAGACATATAGTTTTTTGTGCATATACATGTTTACAAACAAAATTTGTTTGCACAAATAAACTTTGTTCGCACAAATAAACTTTTTTCGTATAAACAAAAGGAGAACTATCAAATAAGTGCTCGAACTTTCATAAAAGGTGCAAATAAGCCCTTTAAGAGGAGGCTTTGTCCGGCTGTCGCCATTTGAGGCGGTTTCCAGTGGAATTTTATGATGAAATTTTTTGACCATCTTCTTCATTAATTCTAGTTTACTCATACCAAATTTCAGCTAAAAGTTCAATAAAAAGGGCAGTCAAAGAATTTTCTGAAATATACTGCGCTGCGTAACTGTGCAGTTATCTTCAAAAATTCATTTGACTGCCTTCCCAATTGATTTTTAGCTGAAATTTGGTATGAGTAAACTAGACTTAATGAAGAAGGTACTAAAAAAATTCGTCAAAATATTTCATCGGAAACCGCCCCAAATGGCGACGACCGCACAGAGCCTCCTATAAAAGAGAATGTTGGGTTAATGGCCCAATAAGGGTCGGCCCATCAACCCTTAAGGATCTCCTACGAGCGTCCTACTAAAGGCCCAAGGAGAATGCCAACTACTAAGGGCCAGGGGACGAACGTAGTCCATCATCAGCTAGTTCCAAGGCCCCAGGGCCAGGAGACGTACATGTTGCACTGCCAGGAGGCACCCAGGCCCAGGGTCCCTACGGGGTACTTGGGGACGGACGTAACCACCTCTTAGTAGGGGACCAAGGGCGGCTCGAGAATGGGTCAGGAGTAGTGGCCTCTCAATAGATCAAGTACAGGAAGATGAACGTCCCCTACCCCATTGATAAGGAGTCAAGATCACAGCAGGAAACAGCGGTCAGGCCCCTTGAGGACGAACATCCCCACCCAATGGCGGGAAACCAAGATTCTGGCGGGAAGCGCATTTAATGTAGAAGATTTGGTGGTTGGGATCATGCCGCCCACAGCCTACCACGTCGACATGTCCAACTACCCATTGACGATATAAATAGTGGCATTTATTTCACTATAAAGGGTTCACAATTTAGCACTCTAGATCTCTATTAGTAATAGCAGTTCGTAGCGTAGCACATTACGCTCGGTCCTTAGGCTTGTAACAGTTGAGTTAGTAAACACAGTTGTTTGACATATTTCCTGCTTATTTCTCCATTTTACTTTCTCATCACCCATTCGAAACCCCCAGGTTATGTGTTGGGCCTCTGGGTTGAGGGAATAAAACTCAACATTGGCGCCGTCTGTGGGAACCTAGTTCAAAAAGTCATTTCAAACTAAGCTCTACACTAAGAATCACTCCAAAATAATCAAAGAACAAGTAAAATGGCTGCTAACAACGCAGGAAACTCCCAAGACCTCTCATCACGACTGGCCCATAGCAGGAGAAGCCGTAACCAGGCGGTAGGGGCCCAGTCCAGCAGTCTCTGGTCCCGTGGGGACTTTGGGGTGCTCACTGACTTGATTCCCCAAGAGGTCCGACGAGACCCGAATGCCCTAAGGGAAACAACAGACACTATCCGCCGCTTGGCGGATGAACGGGAAGCGGAACGCGTGCACTCCGCCAACTCAGGACGAACACCACTTTCTCCTCTCCGTTCAATGCAGACGCTCGGTGAGCGAACTGGCGAGAACAATGATTCCTGCCAATCGGTCCATACCAGGATAGTCAGGAACGTCCATTCCCTGGGCATGGGGGCCAATGGGGGAACCAGGTTCGGTGGAGGAACACAGCGACGCATGAACCGGGAGCACACGCTGGTGATGCCCCGTAATGATCAGGCGGCAAGGGAGCAGACTCTCCTGATGGATGACATGAGGCAGGAGGCCCGTGTCATTCATGGGCAGCATAACTATGGGGTCATGACATGGGGAAATGCCCTAGCGTCAGTGAACCCAGCACCCACAACTCCCGATCCACGGGATGCCATGCTTATGGAGATGCAGAGGCAGATTAACGAGTTGAACCGGAGGACGGAGGCCAGCCCGGCTCAGCCCAGAGTCATTCTGTCTTCACTTTTCTCTGCCAGGATAATGGCAATGGAAATATCGAGGGACGTCCGGCCCCCAGGGGCCCTGATCTACAACGGGGCCGGGGACCCCAAGGCTCATTTACTTTCCTTCCAGGGGACACTCTCTATGCTGGGAGCCTCTGACGAGGCCATCTGCAGGCTGTTCTTCAGCACTCTAAAAGGACCAGCACAGGAGTGGTTCGGGCAGCTCATGCCCGAATCCATTGATAGTTTTGAACAGCTATCCCAACAATTCATGGCACAGTTCGCATCAAGCTCCACACCAAAGAAGCATTTCAGGTGGCTGACGAACGTCCACCAAAACAAGGGGGAATCCCTGTCCGCCTTTCTCATCAGGTGGAGGGACGAAACCCTAAAGGTGGAAGACCTTCCGGGATGTACTGGCATCACCCTCTTCACCAACGCACCGGCAACCGGGGACCTCTATCTGGATCTGAAGAGGAACCCCGAAAATAACTATGCTGAGGTACTTGCCCGGGAACAGAAATTCGCCGCGATCGAGGAAGAAATTGTGCAGCGGGATGGGGTGGTAGCCCTCGCAGCACGTAAGATATCGGACCGATTGGGCCCTGGGCCGGTGGAGTCTTCGGCGTTACGTCCCTTGGGCAACACAGGAACTTCCTGGGGACGACCATCATGTGGATGTCAGCCACGCTCCCTTGGCTTACCCCATCAGCCAGATTTTTGGGGCTATCAGAGACAAAGGACTGCTCAAGGAACCGGTGCCCACCAAGGGGCAAACAATGGGCCGAGACATGGAGGTCTACTATGAATACCATCGCAAGCCGGGGCACCGTACCGATGACTGCAAGAGTCTAAAGTACGTCATCCAGACGCTCATCGAGAGGGGATATCTGGCGAAGTTCACTGTGGGAGGAGCGTCCTAGGGTCCCTCAGAGCAGCACAGGAGGCCCTACAGCTAGCGCCGGGACGATCGGCGAGAGGCTGGGGTCAAGGGCGAGGACTTCCATCACAATGATAAGCGACCGGAAACTTCACTGGGGCCGGTCGGCACCAAGAAGAAGATGGAGATCAAAATGATCTTTGGAGGGGCGGAAACCAGGGATACCCCGATAGAGATGAAGAAATTCGAAAGGGTCTTCCGAATAAATTCCATCTCCGCACCCCCACCAAAAAGCATAAGGTCGAACCCATTGTGTTCGGACCAGCGGATTTACCTCAATCACCGGGGCCCCATAGGGATGAACTGGTAATCAACATGGATATTCGGAAGTGAATAATCCGCCGGGTCCTAGTCGATACCGGTAGCAGCGTCAATGTCCTGTACTGGGACATCTTCGAGAGAATGCATCTGAGAAGGGCCGATCTGAGCCCCCTACGGACACCCTTGGCC